TTGATAAGTGTACATACGTGTTAAAATGGTTTTAAATGTCCTCACTGCAGATCCTCAAATGATGAATCTGGAAAACCCTTTTACTACCTGTATGAAGTTGGTGGAAACATCGGTAATTTGAGATATTTAAAAAAATAGGTTTACTTAGTTTAGGTTTATTCTTTGTCAACACTTTCATGACCACCATGTTTGTACCCCATAGCCCTGTCTCATTGATTGAGTATAATCAGTTTCATGACCACCATGTTTGTACACCATAGCCCTGTCTCATTGATTGAGTATAATCAGTTTCATGACCACAATGTTTGTACCCCATAGCCCTGTCTCATTGATTGAGTATAATCAGTTTCATGCCCACCAGTATGCAATATTTCAACCCAAATGTCAATGTTAACTATAAAACTACCTCAGTTTTAATTATTTATTTTTGTATATCCCAATAAACTATATACAAAAAAAACTGTCAGTCATTAAATTGTTAAGAAGGAGTTTTGATAATATCTGTTGATATTATGCTTTGTTTTAGAGATTTTTCTTTAGATTTAGTTACCTTTTCTTTGTTGAGAATAAATGACTGTTGCATTATGCAAACTGTTTATAAGCTTTAATGATCTTATAACTATTTTTTTTCTCTATTTTTAGGTGAGAGACGCCTTAACCCCAACACAATAATGCTGGAACTCTACCAGAAAAATCCTAATGCAGTTTGGATTCTGAAGCCTTATGGAAAACCACCTACAGATGTTTCTAAGTAAACAAAATTCTTCCAACATAAAGAATGCATCGTCAAAGAACACAACATTATCTTTTTTTAATATGGCCAGCTTAACATAAGAATTTAGTTAGAGGCAGGTTCTCCTGGCCTATCTGGTTATGATAATATATACAAATATTTGGATTTCAATAAACTTATGAAATGCCTGTGTTATTTATCAAACAAAAGTGAAGTATGGTACTATGAAATGCCTGTGTTATGTATCAAACAAAAGTGAAGCATGGTAATATGAAATGCCTGTGTTATGTATCAAACAAAAGTGAAGCATGGTACTATGAAATGCCTGTGTTATGCATCAAACAAAAGTGAAGCATGGTACCACATGAGTACAGAGAGAAACCAAACCTCACTGATTATTATAATCTGGAATAGTGAGTGTTACACTGAGTGTAACTGCTGATATTGTTATGTAGCATCTACTCAATAAACAGCAAATAATATAAAGGAATTATAGTTTGTTCCATTATTTAAATTTTAATAATTTTTAAAGTTAATGGGAAATTTAAATATAGTAATGAAGTGTATTCCCAAGGAAGTCACCCAAAATTTGAAAAATGGTAATATAATTGAAGTATAGCTAACACAAACTATCAAGTGAACCACCGAAACAAAGACAATGCAAACATTTTTACTGGCAACCTTTAATTGTAAATTTTCACAAGGCTTCCAGGAATCAGAATAACCACCCCACAAAAGAACATATACATATAAGGATGCCCCCTCTTTTTATTAGCCTGTCAAAATTAAAAGTGTAAAAACAATATGTACGCAATTTCTTTCCCTATCCACCATCCAAAAAATAATCTAATTTCAAACCTGTGACTTATTGTACACAGCCTGATATTTTTAGCTGGTTTGTGAGTGTGTGTTATTTAGCCTTTTTTATTAAATTCTTTGGGTTCTTTGAATATCCGAGGTTTTCTACTGAGAATGCGAGCACGTGTGACAGCTCTGCCTAACACTTTTCTGAGCAGTGCTTTGGTGGCACCCTGTTCTGGTGGCACCCTGCTCTAGTGGCACCCTGTTCTAGTGGCACCCTGCTCTGATGGCACCCTGTTCTAGTGGCACCATGCTCTGATGGCACCCTGTTCTAGTGGCACCTTGCTCTGATGGCACACTGCTCTGGTGGCACACTGCTCTGGTGGCACACTGCACTGATGGCACCCTGCTCTGGTGGCACCCTGCACTGATGGCACACTGCTCTGGTGGCACACTGCTCTGGTGGCATCTTGCTCTGAATACACACTGTTCTTGTGGCACCTAGCTCTGATGGGTCCCTGTTCTGGTGGCACCCTGCTCTGATGGCACCCTACTCTCGTGGCACCCTGTTTTGGTGGCAATACGCTCTGCATTAACCGTGCTCTGGTTGCCCTGTTCATAGTATTAACTGGAGGTATGTGTGTCAACCGGCCATTATTTCATTTATGGAGTCACACACACCCCAGTGTTGGTGTCACCTGGTGCGGCATTCCCCCTCCCCGTGACGCATGGATGTGTAGCGAGAGGAAAAAATCTGTAAAAAAATAATAAACAAACTTTTTCAAGACATTAAAACTTTACTGGAAGAATATGACATAAAGTTGGAAGTTACTAAACACTATTAATGTGAGAATAATAGTATAAGTGACTGACTCAAGATTATTTTTGTGTGTATTGAGTGAACTTCATATTGATATCCCTGTGACCTGATTATCCTGTGTTGTTGCCATGTTGTATGACTGGATGTGGTGAGCTGTTTTCATGATTGTTTAAACTTAAATGTGTGAATATTGGTTTGGGAACTGGAGTGAGTGGTCATGTGATGTGGGGTATAAAAAGAATTGAGCATAAAGTTAGTCAAGAGGTGCAGTGCATGACTTAACTGCATGGGATAGGTCATGATGCAATGGCAGCTTTGAATACATTCCAGTAGACTGGCGAAGAATGTGACATAAATCCATCTTTCCAAACAGCCCATTGTAATTTGAAGACATTCGAACATCACTGCTTATCAAGAAAGAATGTAACAATTGAAAGGCATACATTATATAGGAGCCAAAATGATCAATAAATTGATCGTGGGCCCTTAAGATATAGAAGAATAAGATCTGTTTGGGGTTTTTATTCCTTTTTTTTTTTTTTTAAAGCCGTCAAATTGTTGGAGAAACTTTTGATAGTTTGTTTTTTTTTCATCTGACCTCATGTGACTCGCTGAGAAAGGACATAATTGTAGGTGACTACTTAGAGAGTCTGACCTGACCCTCGTCAAGGCAGAAAACATGAAGGGTATAGGGGAGACAATTGATTAGCTGCTCAAAATAATAAGTGAAGAATGTGGTGTACAGGCAGTGACAGGGATATCAATATGACCATGTACAAGTACAAAGTGCAACTATTGCAGCAGGCAGCAACTACCCAGAAAATGTACCGTATTTTGTGACAATTATGTAACAACTGTGGCGAACAAAATCATTGTTCTTCTGTCATTTCCGGGTCTATTAGAGTTGTCACTTCGGAGTCAGAAGATAGAGTTACCTCCAGTGAAGAAACGTTTCTCATCGGTAACGTTTTCTTGAAAAACAGAATTTGCAATGAGTGGAAATCGGTGATCATTCTTGGGGCCAGGCAAATAACCTTCACACTGGAGAGCAGGTGAACATTCTCCCCAAACAATTGTTTAGTCAAATTCGAAGGAGGAAACTTCAGAAGTCAACTGCAATGCTTACTACAAACAGTGGGGAAAGATTTTCTGTTGTAGGCAAGGTATTGGTCAAATACACAGTAAAGGGAAAAAACTGAGATGCTGGAATTTCAATTTGTATAAAAACAATCCAAGCCAATCATGGGTCTGCCATGATGCCAGCAACTCAATCTTATTAAATGAATGGATGATATTGGAGATACACCATTGTCTTCCTATGCAGATGTATTCAGTGGTCATAGTTCCATGGAAGAAGAGTACACTATCAAAATAGACCATTGGACCAACGGTACATGTAGCTAGCGAAGTTCCAGCGGCATTGCGAGATGTCCACAAGAAAGGACTTGAGTGCAAGGAAAAGGAAGGTGTCATTGAGAAAGTGGATCATCACACTTCTTGGGTCAAATTGCTGGTCATTGTTGAGAAAAAAATGTGGTGGTTTAATGATATGTCTTAATACTTGAGGCCTTAAATATAAAAAGTGTCGGACTGCAATAAAGCTTTAAAATAGATTAATAAGAAACGAACAAATTGTTTCACTATAACAATATAAGTTACGCTTTAACACTGCTATTCAACGAGAACATAACCAATTACCCACCTTTGAAGAAATAGCTAGCAGACTTATTGACAGCAAGGTCTTTGCGGTGTGTGACGCAAACTCAGCTTTTTATCAAATTAATTTGATAAAAATTGTACAGATCTACAACTTTCAACACACTTTTTGGAAGGTACAATTTTATGAGACAACTGATTGGACTCAATTCTTCTGCAGAAGCATTTGCTAAAAGGCTGCACCAGGCTTTTGGAAACATTCCAGGTGTTGAAACTTACATGGACAAAAGGCTGAAATCCGGTACAGGAGAATATGATCCAAAACTGAAGAAATTTCTTGATACGACAAGAGAGAAAGGGATCAAACTGAAACCATTCAAATGCAGTCTACGAGTCAAGTATTTTATACTTGTAGGACATTTCATTGAGAGCTAAATCAAAGCTCATAACTTTAAGATTGAAGCATTACTACCTACGCCATGTAGGACACATTATTAGTGGAATCAAACCTGATCACTCTAAGTTTGAAGTAATGCAATATTAATATACGCCATGTCCCTCAAGTTGCAAAGATTTTTTTAGGAATGATTAATTATCTTGGACAGTTTATTCCAAATATATCAGGCATAACTGCACCCCTGAGATATTGGATCAACCAAGAGAACGAGTGGGTTTGGCGGGAACAACAGACGAGTCCTATTTTTCTTTCGAACCGCACACGTTTTTCATAAAGTATTACGGTCCGTCTTACATGTTGAATAGTGCAGGCCTCACCCCCTTTCCTAAGCAACTGGCACAGCCAACCTAAACATCTGAAATGCCCTCCCCCCCCCCCCCC